CACCCCACCCCACACCGCCGCGCCCGACTGCAGGGGCGGGAGGAGGGCCAACCTAAGGCAACTGTGGACACTGTGTGTCGGTCGCCAGAGCCATGCGACGCGCAGTGTTTTCCGAAAGGTTTGGCGCGCGGAGGAAGAACAAGGAAAAGCACGACAGCGACGCGTGGTGTGAGCGCCGGTGGTGCACTGGCAAACTGAAGTGTTCAACTGGCTTGCAACTCCCTTTACCACTCGAATACTTCCCTGTGTTCAGGTTTCCAGTCAAACACTTCCAGTGCTTCAAATTCTACAGAAAAAACTGCGATAAAGTTGCCTGTTTTGTTTGAGTGAATGAATTCAAATGAATGAGCTCCCGTCAATTATCTATTACTTGCCTGGCTAAAGCCCTTACCTGAAACGATGAGACGAACTGAACTTAGAACAGGATCGAGCTAAACTTCGACTTCGTAAACCTTCCCGTCAATTACATGTTCAGTTTTTGGTGTAGGCAATCACTTGCCAGCCGACCAATCATCCCTCGTGTGGTTTGCCCAACGTCAACCGGGCTCCGCTCGCTCTGCACGCGAGTGGGTCTCGTTTTCCAAGACGAAGGGAACCCCTCGGAATGAGAGGCAGCCCGGCCCAGCAGCCCGAGGGCCCCGCTATGCTCGACTCCTGCAGCGACTCCAGTCATCATCGGAATAAACTGGACGGGCCGCGACCACCTCGCGGCCCTGCTGCCGGCCGAGGTGGGGTTTTGCGGGTCTGTGTACCGCCGAATAATCCCCCTTAATTGGCGATAGCCAGCTCTGCCAATTATTGTGCAGAACGCTGATTACAACCGGCGGCACCAGCGTCAGGAGGAGGTCGTTGGAGACGGCGGGCGCCGTGCGGCCCGGTCGATGCGCTTCTACAGAAAACGGTGGCCGCGTCATTACCGGAACACTGCCGAATTGTTTTCCTTGTGAGGCAGAGAGAGAGAGAGAGAGAGAGAGAGAGAGAGAGGAATGTGTCTCAAATTGGGCCGGTGTCTGTCATTCTTACCTCTCGTCTCATCTATCTTATTATCGCCAGCACCTCGTTATCCACCCCTTCCAGCGGCAGCGGCAGCGGCAGCGGCACCCCTTCAATTCTTCCTAAAGCCTCTCCTCTCTCCAGTCCCTCACTCCTCCTCTCCCTCACCCACTCTCCGGCCGCCCTTCTCTCTCTCCAAAGCGCCTAATTCCCTCTTTGCTAGTAATTGCATGAGTCACTGAAATTCCATTATTGTAATTAGCCTTTCGTAGCAGCGCGGGGCAGTCTGTTTCCGGGGGGTCTCACTTCTCTCTTTCCTTTCTGGCTGTAACCCCACTCCTCCTTCCTCTTCCCTCTTGTCTCTGGACCAGAGCGTCGCGCTCCTACGAAGGCGGACTGGATTTGGATTGTTATTGTCATCGGCTCCACCCCGGGCAGCCCGTACAGAAAAAAAATAGATCTAGAATATCCAGCCGAGACAACATATAGACAGATTGAAGTAATGCAGCCTGCTACGAGACATTCTGGAGACGGAATTGGAGGCACCGTAGAGCTGTGCAGGAGACATCGTAGAGTCGTCGGCGGTGTCTCGTAGGTGTATCCATAAAGTCTCGAAAAGGAATCTGCCTCGAGGCAATGCCGAGACATTTTTCTGGAGACTCCGTAGAGCCATTTTCGAGACGTCGAAAACGAGACAATCCGGAGTCATGTCCGGAGACATTCCGAAGTCAGATGCGAGACATGTGAGAGGCACCGTGGAGACATTCTAGAGACATCGTGCAGCAGAAATCAGTGAAAACGCAACGGGCGGGCGCGAGGTCAGATCTCTCCGAGGCATTTGAAGGATCACGAGTCCCTGAAGTATATTTAATTGAATGTTCCATAACGTATCGTATCATTGAGTGTAATTTCAAAGTTTCCACCATTTTATTGGATTTCATTTGACATAATATGACTCCAAAAAAAGCTAGTCAATTTAAGAAAATGATAAACCTTGTTCTGATTTCAATGCGCCTATCCTACCTAAGTTTGCGATATTGGCTATAATATTGTTCGGTCCCTTACAAGTCTATGACAATTGGGAAAAGAAGTTGTCTGTTTAATAATCATTTTTAAATGTCCTATTGAAAGATAAGGTGACTTCCAATTATTCTTCAAGTAAACACCATAACATTTACTTGAAATAAAATAAAATAAGGATTTTGTTAGAAGTTACAAAACTAAAAGTGTAATACAATATTTGGATTTCTTTTTTAAAATTAAAAAGGAAATGTATTATGCTCAAAGCCTATCAGAGTCGAAATGGGAAAGTTATTAGCCCCCAAATTGGTAAAAGTGTGCAAAAACGGCCAAATTGTCAATTTGGCGGACAATAACTTTGCCATTTCGATTCATTCCGATCGTCTTGGAGCATAAAACATGTTCGTTTTCTTTTGTCAAGATGAGTCGGACACATTAGTTACCTTTTTACAATTCCACCGAGCCAGTACTCCCCCCCCCCCTCTCCATTTTCCGTACGTAAACACTTAAACCATTCCAAATATCACTTTCGTTTCTTTTCGCCAGACACTCGCGAAACTTCGCTGGTCGAGTTCCGCAACTCGCAAAACTTAGAACGGCCCACTCGGTTTGACTATCTGACAATTTGATACTTGTAAGGAAGATTCGAAATCGTGAGGTGAGTGAGTAGCCAGCCGGGGGGCAGGGCAGGCCGTCACTCAGGTTAGCCAAACGTAACAACAAAAAGCCGCTGCTTTTCAAATGAAAGAGTTAAATCTTTCAAATCAAACCTTTACGAACGAAAAGTTCCCACTTGGTTTTCCTTGAACTATAGATGTTTAGTCAAACTCGCATTCCGTCCATGATCTAGCCGTTTTCCAGAAAAAGTGGAACGTAAACACAGACAGACAGACTGACGACGGAGACATCGCCTAACCCCTCATTGACTTGGACTGAGCTTCGCTCAGTGATTAGCTTCGCTCAGCGAAAAAGAGACAGTCAGCATGAATCGGTGTTTCAGTGGTTGATGGTATTTATTGTCGAATACTGAGTACAATCGTCAGTACCGGTGCACTGCAAACTTAGACAAGGGGGTAGCTAGCCTCGGTGGCGATACCACAGTTGTTCTTCTTGTTGCGAGCCATCTTGATGTAACCTTCCTCACCCCAGGAAGTGCCCCATGAGTTCTTGACGATCCAGAACTCCTTGTTGGGCCACTCGCTGCCGTAGCCGACGGCGAGCACACCGTGGTCCAGGGAGTAGGAGGAGCAGGCAGGCTCGTAGTAGATACCGCTGGTGTACATCTGGAAGCTCCAGTTGCTGGCGTCGATGGCGACAGACACGGGGCCAACCTTCTCGACGGCGTCACGGAGGGCGCTCTCGCTCTCAGACTGGACGTCCTTGTAACCAGTGTTGACACCAGCGTTGTTCTCAGCCTTGTAGAGGCAAGAGCCACCGTCCTGTCGATAACAACAAAAACATAAACATTTGTCCAGAAGCGTGAACGTGCGGCAGCTTTAGCGCCTAAGGTAAGGTCGGTGCGTCACTCACCTCAGCGGTGTAGGGGTAGCTCTCCTCGGTGTCGATACCGCCGTTGCTCTTGATGTACGCGAAAGCGGAGTCCATCAGACCACCGTTGCAACCCTGGTTACCGAAGTCCCAGGAGCAGTCGACCAGGTTCTGCTCACTGAGGGAGACCAGGTTCTTGTTCTTCAGGAAGAGCTGACCCTCGAGGGAGCCGGTCTGAAAAACAACCACTTTCAATGAGCTTTCTGCGATGTAAGTACCGCTCACTGTGCATGTTTAGGTCTTGTTTCTACTTACGGCGGAGAAAGACCAGCAGGAGCCGCACTGGCCCTGGTCCTTGATGGGGGTGACGGCGCCCTTGGACCTCCAGTCGACCTTCTTGCTCCAGGGCCAGGAGACGTTGGAGGCGGTGTGGACGAAAGCGCTGGCCTGCTTCAGGCCGCTGCGGTAACCGTTCAGCTTCTCGGTGACCTCGTGGGTGTGCTGCAGTGACAACAAAAAATAAACTGTTAGCGTGACGAACTGGGTGTATTTGTTGTTAGATCACTTCCTGATACATCCGCTTGCAAAATAACTTACCATGTCAGCGTACTGGTTGTAGCCGACCTTGAAGGTGACCTCGCCGCTGGCGAAGCGGTCGTTGTGCTTGGCGATCCTGATGGCGTTTTCCTTGAACACCTTGGCCCTGTAGGCCTCCTCGACCGCGTTGGCGTAGGTCTTGGCGTGGGTGGCCTTGAAGCTCTCCCAGTGGGCCTGGATCTCCATGTCGGAGGGGATGGCGGCCATGGCGGCCACCACGCAGGCGGCGAGAACGATGAGGACCTTCATGATGTCTGCAAAAAAGAAGAATGAAAATGTAGAGTGCGGCACACTGTGTGGGGAACGGTCCAATCTACGAAATGAAGTTGCAACTCTGCATTGGCAATGACAACTTAATGAATAAGGGTTTAATTTTTTGACGGTAGACTTAAGTCATAAGTCATAAGTTTATTAAAATAGTAGTGCGAGATAGTACCGCAACAGAACATTTTAAAAAATGTCGTTGGTCATGAATGATTAATCAACGCGGTGCATGTGCACACTGGCAAAAGGAGAACCAATTGAGTTAGCCAAAAACACGGTGGAATACTTTGCTGTGACAAACCAACCAGCTCTTAGTTATACCCTATGACCGAGCCGCAGCTTTCACCGTTCAGTACTTACCGGAGACAGTTTACTCTGTGCCGATCACTGCCGAAAGGTGCTCCTTTATACCTTGATCGGCATGAATCTCGGTGTCTTATCTTTTCTTGATCTTGTCCGATGTCATGTTGTGAAGTACAGCTGAATGGTAGTGTTCAAGTGATAGGAGGCACCACCGAGTGGAAGTGACAAGGTGGAATCGCTCGAGCGACAGGTGTCTGACTTCTAACGACGTACTTGGCGCTGTGGTGCTGCGGCGCTATCCGGTTACACAAAGTCACAAAGTTCAATCTGCGGCTGCCCTCTCATTTCCTTATAGATGTGCTATCAGTATGTTACGATGAATTTTGTGCAAACGTATTATGGATCACAAATCGTCCATAATATGGATGAAATTGTCCGTATTACAGACAATGTGATCCATATTAAGACATGCCCGCGGGACACCGAGCAGTAGCGGTGACTGGCGGACCAGGCACATCGAAGACACAGGCCGCGGACAGCTTCTGTTCGCTGCCTCGCCCCGCTGCTCCCCTCCAAATTCACTGTGGCCTAGTGGATACAGCACCCGACTTTGAAGCGAGAAGTTCTCGGTTCGTGTCGGACCGGCGGCGCGCTCTGGCGCCCGCTGCGTTTTCACTGATTTCTGCTGCGCGCTGTCACTAGAATGTCTTCACGGTTCCTCCCACATGTCTTGCATCTGACTTCGGAATGTCTCCGGACATGACTCCGGATTGTCTCCAGTTCGACGTCTCGAAAATGGCTTTACGGAGTGTCCAGAAAAATGTCTCGGCATTGCCTCTAGGCAGACTTCTCTTCGAGACTTAGTGGATACACCTACGAGACACCGCCGATGACTCTCCGATGTCTCCTACGCAGCTCTACGGTGCCTCCAATTCCGTCTTCAGAATGTCTCGTAGCAGTCTGCATTACGTCTTCAATCTGTCTATACGTTGTCTCGGCTGGTGACATTCTAGATCACACTTTTTCTGTACGGGAGGCGCGCCGCAGGGGCGGAGGTGCAGTCGGTTGCAGTTCCATGCTAACCGGCCAATCGCCGACCCCCGCCGCCGTTCGACAAACTAATGGGCATCTGCTGCTGTTGGCCGATGGTGGCGGCGGCGGTGGTGGCTGGTGGTGGTTTGCGAGCGCCAAATTTACTACCTGTCGGTGTTGGTTATCTGACTACCCACTCTCGCCCACCCGCCGGGCATAACTAGAGCCCCCGGGAATGTAGGCCGAAGAGCGAGGCGGGGCCGGGCGGGGCGGTCACCCCTTCCCTTCCTCCGCGGACTGGAGTGAGCGGCAGAGCGCCGATCCCGGGCGCCCCGGGGCCCGTCCATAAACTGTCCTATTGACGGGCTGCCTGGTCCCGCCCGGGGCCTCTACCACCGTGGCCCCCCTCGTGTGCCGTATCCAAGGCACAACCAGGGATCAAACTCTTAGTGTGCTCAAAAATCTTAGGTGGGAAATCGTTTTATTAACTCCTTCCCTATGCCCATATAAGAGCAATGGATCACCTATCGCGTTAATGATTTCGAGTTTTTCGCGCATGACTTGACACTAATTGAATTGTCTGCATCCGCTGCAAACCCAGTCGCAGAAGTGCTGCTGAGCTACATGCAGCTTGCAGCGCGGGGCCCCTAGCCTGCTGAGCTCGACATTTGGGATGTGCTATAAATCTATCGCGAGAGAGAGAGAGAGAGAGAGAGAGAGAGAGAAAGAGAGAGAGAGAGAGAGAGACGGTAGTGGAGGCGCTTAACTGTGCGGGGCGCCCATCCTCACCTGTAATTACGTGGCCGTCCACTCCTGCAACATCCTGTAACTCCCTGCAGAACCTTGTCTTCTTCGCTCGGGCATAGTAGTGGGGTGAGTGAGCGGCCCGTGTGAGTTATGACCCCCCCGCCCGAGCTTTTGGGCGCACGAATCCATCCATCCATCCATCCATCCATCCATCCATCCATCCAGCTCCATCATCCACGTGCATCCCCCATGTTGCTGCACCCTTGCCCCCACTGGGACGGGCTGTCTCTCTCTCTTGAGGCATTATGCTGCACGCCTCTTGAATATTTCTGCATACATCGCGCCCGTCCTGCGAAAAAAAGAAAGAAAATATGCAAGAATTAACACCTTTTTGCTTATTCATACGCGTCGGCGGCGGCGGCACCGTCGTCCACTGCCGCCCCCTCACCGGCCGCCCCGTCACTTTCGCCTGTATACTCCGGACCTGCCCCACCTGCTACTACTCGACCCCATTGTGGTCGGTCGCACTTGGGGATTCAAAAATCGGGAAGTTGGGGGGAAAATTCGTTACTTTTCCCGAAAAAATTGGAAATGTTTGCATTTTTTCTGAAAAATTGGTTTAATATTTACCTTTTTCAGGAAAAAGTTTAAACCTGCCATGAAAAATTTTATGAACATTTACTGGCAAATTAAATCCCTAGTCGCACTGAGAGCAGAGACGCGTGGCGTGGCATGGCGGCGTAGCGTGGCCCCCGTGGCCCCTCTTCTTCTGCCCCGCGACGCCCCGCCACGTGTGATTACGCGCTTCCGCCTATCGTGGAGATGGTCCAGCAGCGCCACGCATTTAATAGAATGGGGCAGCAGCCGCTGGTCTGGTCCAGAGGGCGAAGCGAGCACACACACGACTCTGTATTTCTCTCCCTTAGCTCTCCTCTCCCTCCCCTCCTCTCTCTCTCCCGCTCAAGCCCCCCTCCCCTCACACACACACCACAAAGTCAACTCACAAAAGTCAGCGAGCGCGTCGCAATCAAGGAGACCATGGGGCCACAATGACATTGTAAACGCGGTACACTAGAGTTGATTAAAAATTCAAAGTAACACTCGCGCGCGCGCTTGCTTGTCGTTCTTTGGGGTGTGATCCTGTGTTTCTAAAGTTTCGCCCGGGAAAATAAGCGGCTGTTTTTATACATGTTTTTGTATACTCGTCTGGGAGAGTGGCTACTTCTGGAACAGGCTGCTGTCATAGGCTGGCCCTCCTCTGGCTATACTGCTGAAACCTTGCTGAATATAAGATCCAGAGGATGGCTGTTCACTCTCTTTTAGAAAACTTGCCTAGTGACTACACTTACTTAAGTTTTGTGCTGTTGCATTTACTTCTTTCAAAACAGACAGCAGCACTAAACCTAAGTCGCCATCAAGAATATTTTCCAGTTAAATGTTTAGAGTTTGCTTCTTTAGCAAGGCTGCTCAGAAGCTGACCCTCTGGCTGCGCTGCTGGAGCAGAGGCTGCCGCCGGAGCAGGCTGCTCGGAGGCTGACCCACTGGCTGATCGCGCTCCCTTGTACTCCCTTCCGCGAGCTCTCCGCGAGCCCCCCGCGCGCCCTCCGCGAACTCTCTTACTACTGCGTCTCTGCCATGGCTCTTTCTCGAGCTCTTCCTCTCCTACTAGATTAGCCACATCCAGGCTACCCTGAGCACGCGCGCAAACCACTGTCATTTTTTGTCGCGCGGACTCTTCTCGGTTCTCTGGAGTTCGAACGACAAGAACAGAGCACACGAAGCAGGGCGAAGAGACGAAAAAATAACGGTAGTGATCTGTAGTTTCCTTTTCTTTTCTACGTGTAGGTGTCGTCCGCCGGCCTCACCCGCCCCTCCCCATTTGTCTTGTGGTGACAGAGCAATTCTCGAAAGGTATCAAAAGGTCATCGATGTGGCTGTGAGGGCCGGCCCTAGCCCTGCCTATGCTGTCTATTCGCGTCCGATTCCGGAAAGCGATCCATCGACGCGGAGCGTCCATCTGTCAGTGAAAATCCTGACGTCATCCTGTCGGGAGTCCTGCTGGGGGTCCTGCGGGGCGTCCTGCGGGGCCTCCACGCTGGTCGCAGTCAGCCCGGCCCTGTGCTCTGGCGCCGGTGTATTTGAACCTGCGACCTGCGACCCCGTCAGAGGGGCGCTCTCTGTCTCCCCATGTGGGTCACATTCGTCCTGCTGCGCGGGTAGGAGAGGCGGGAAGGTAGGAGGAGGCAGAGAGTAAGAGTGTGGGCTATTCTCGTTGACAAGGCAGTTGGCAGTACTGGATCGCCCCCCCCCCCCCTTACCCCTCTCTCCTCACACACACACACACACGCACACGCAGAACCCACACACGAGTTGGTGGTACAGCACTACTTCACCGCTCCCCAGGCGCCGTGCCGGCCGGGATAAAAGCGTGTCAGGCGGCGAGCGATCTATGGCGGAAAATCACGACTTAACGCACTGTCGCCCTCCCCCTTTCCTGCCACCGCCACCACTCCGCGCCACGCCCCGCCTGACTGGGTGCCGCTCAGCCGCTGACGGGCCTAAACTCCCCCCCTGCCTGCCTCCGCCCCAAAGAGCTCTCCTAGCCGCACCCAAACCATCCGGCGGCGGCCTGCGCCTGCTGGCCCTGGCCCTGCGGGAGGCCCTGCGGGGGGCTTGACTATTCTGAACCAAAGGCATTGTGGCGCCGACGCCCCGCCGACGGGTCATGCACCCTGGTGGCGCTTCCGGCCGGGTCAATACACAGGAAACTGTGTTGCACACTTTTGCAACACTGCAAGAACGGGTTGCGAATGTTAAATTCTTGGGATTTCATACTTTTAATGAAAACATTTCGCACACCTGTGATCGCTGTGTCCATAGAGTGCAAAGGAAAATTCGTCCATCTGCAAGTGTGTTCCATTTCCACCCTTTAGTTTACTGCGCTTGGATCCCCTCCTGTCCTGGCGGTGTTTGGTGCCCCCACTCTAACTTTGTGCTGATCTGTTTGTTGCAGGTGAGTCTGAGGGTGCCGAGGACGCCGCGAGAGCCTCGGCGAGAGCCAGGGAGGGACGGCGCCCGCTATTGCTCCCAAGGGTAGGTAGGGGCCCGTCCGCTTGCGTCGGCCGCTGTCGTGGGGAGAAGAATAAGGCGTGTAGGGGCGCCGTAGAAGTAGACGGCACTGTGTCCGTGTCCCTCACAATGCAGCAAAGAAGCGGAGCAAGGTTCGTCTAGCACGCCATTGCAAAGG